GGCTGAGACAAACTCATTCGGGGCTTTAAACCCGGGTTTGGTGACGTCAATGCTAGGGACTATACAGCCTGGTTGACGCGACCCACGTGACTACACATGGAAAATATTGGAGAGTTGGTGTGAACCAGGCTAGGATCAGTAGTTTACAGGAAGGATACAAGTTATTTTAATTCTAACCGTTTTCCTTCTTTTCGGCGGTTCAGGTGTATGCACATGGCTGATTATTTAAAGGGACTACGCTGAACAAGAGAAAACGGTTTTGTTTCGGGAACATCAACGCGCCCTAACTGTGCTCTTACTGCTGTAATTTGATATAGACTACATAAATTGTTATTTCCCTTTATTTCTGAATGTCTGTATGGAGTCAAAGTCCTAATTTGGCGCTGGTGTCGTTAAAGGCTATGTGGCGTGGTCGTGTAGCATTCCAAAACAATGTTTCCCAATAAGCCTGCCTTTCCTGTCGGAAGCTTGGAGAGTTGAGGAGAGAGTCGAGCCCCCGAACATGATCTCACGGGGCGGGAATGCGAGGAGCCATGAGCTGGTCGGGTTCCCACCGCGGGTTGAGCTGCTCTGGGTCCGGGATTAACCTGCTCTATCTCTCGCTGCTGCTCTGGAGCTCCTGCTCTGGCATGGACGGACTGGCTGATTTCTCAAGTTAGTGTGATGATGAGTATGAAGATAGGTGTGGTGATGATAATGATGAAAGGTGTGGTGATGATGATTTTGTTTTAAAGTAGGCCTATTGATTTATTTACTTTTGGATGATGATGATGATGATAGTTAATAATAAGATGATTACATCATAATCATCTTCACCATCTTCATCATCATCTTCTTCTTCATCATCCATATTTGTTGAATATTTAGTGTCTTGGTTGGTCAGTAAACCATGATCAATTTAATTGATTTCTCTAACAGACTACCTGTCTCGGATCATTACCAGTCACTCTGTGCATGCGTGCGACGGGCAGCAGTTGCGTCTCTACTGTCCACGCCACTCCACCATCTCGATCCAGTCGGCGTTTTACGGACGTGCCGACGCACGGCTCTGCACCAACGAAAACGTGACAGCTGCGGGCGTCAGCGCAGGAAACCACAGCTGTTCTGCGTTTACTACCCTACAGGTGTGTTTTTTTGTGTTCTGTTGTAGGAATCCTTTTTTTGCACAAGAATAGGTATTTTCACACAGTTTCACTCTGCCAAATGATTCAGTCATTGAATCTTTTGTGTAACGTGGTAAGCTTTTGTGTAACGTGGTAAGCATTCATGACATGTATGCCTGAGTTGATGAATCCCCATAGGCAAGGAATCTACTTTCAAGTAGATGTAAGCTTAACTTCTTGATTGTGAATTATTATGGCTACTCCTCTCTTCAGGAAGATTTATCTTTGAATATTCACTCTGACACTTCTGGGAATAATAAAGTTATTCAGAATAAGTCTTAAAGGGGAGTACTGCGAAGTATCATAATAGTGGCTCATTTATTTTCAGAATTAAAGTAAAAACCCCCAAAACCAAGGCTACATAGAGATTGCGGCTGGGATTCAATCCAATCAGTAGTAGAGCTGTGTTATAGATCAGTAGAGATGTGTTATAGATCAGTAGAGATGTGTTATAGATCAGTAGAGATGTGTTATAGATCAGTAGTAGAGATGTGTTATAGATCAGTAGTATAGATGTGTTATAGATCAGTAGAGATGTGTTATAGATCAGTAGAGATGTGTTATAGATCAGTAGAGATGTGTTATAGATCAGTAGAGATGTGTTATAGATCAGTAGTAGATGTGTTATAGATCAGTAGAGATGTGTTAGTAAAATCAGTAGAAGTGTTAG